TCCTGACAGCAAAACCCCTGCAGGCTGGACAAGCCTGGAGACAGATCTCAGGACTTGCTTTGCCGGCTTTAAGCGGACAGACTCTCAGCTCATCAAAGGAGGCAGCTTTTCCAGGGTGCCTGAAGAACTGCCCTTAGGCAGTGCTTCTCAGAGTCTGGTGCACTGTATCAGAACCATCTAGGGTGCTGGTTAATGCATGTATTCCCAGGCCCACCCCAGCCTTCTTGAATCAGAACTGCTGAGGAATCAAGTATTATCAATAAATACTCTAGTTTAGTCCTGGTTTGGGATCTGAGAGCCATATCGCCAGGAGCAAATTCCAGCACCACCATTTACTAGCCCTTCGGCAAGTCCCTTAACCTTGCCTAGCTTCAGTTTCCTAGTCTGTAGATTGGGGATAGATAATATTGGTGCCTACCTTGTGGGTCTGCTGTGGGAGTAAAACGAGATCATGAAAGCGAAGTGCCTGGCACAGTGCCGGCATGGGCTCAACAAATATGGACTATTAGCCACACAGCCCCGTTCTCAAGCCTGGGACCTCTGAGTGAGGGGCAGAGCCTTGAGGTTTTCCTATAGGGAGGAGACCCTGGGGGAGGCCCTCAGCACATGCAAAAAGCCTTGGTAGAGCAGGGCCCCATTCAAGACCCCTGCCACCTAGTGGCTGGTGTATGGGACCGTGCCCAGCTCTTCAGTCTGCAGAGGCCCGAGGCAAGGCTTGCCCTAGCTTCTCCCCTGCCTCACCACCGCCTGGCAGCCCCCCTCCCTACCCTGCTGCCTGGGGAGCCTAGCTGGCTTGGCATCAGCCCTGGCACTCCCTCTAGCCTTGTAATAAAATAGCCTGCTTGGGTCAGCTTTCCCTGTCAGGGAGGCGACCTGGCACAAAGGGCAGGATGGAGGGCGAAAGCCTGGGGAGACAGCTCCTTCAGTGACCCGCGATTATAGTCTCATATTCTCACTGGTTCCTCAAATCAGGTGACCCAGGGAAAGAACCCTTCTTGTCTTCCTTCTTTTTCTAGAGCTTCATCATTCATTTATCCGTGCATTCATTCATTTGATAGCAAAGTGCCTCATGCATGTCAGGCACTGAGGCTTGACAGTGATCACCAGGATTGGCAAACTTTTTCTGTAGAAGGCCAGATAGTAAATATTTTCAGGTTTTTGGGTCACACTATTCTGCTCTTGTAGCAAGACAGTAGCTGTAGATGGTGTGTAGACAACTGGGTAGATGTGGCTGTGTTCCAATAACACTTTATTTGTGGACATTGGAATTTGAATTTCATATCATTCTCATGTGTCATAAAATATTCTTCTTTTGGATTCTCCGCCCGCCGCTCCCCCCCCATGATTTGAAAATGTAAAACTGATTCTTAGTTCACAGGCTGTACAAAACAGGCAACAGCCAGCAGGGAGCAGTTCTCCGTCCCTGAGCTTAGCCCTCCACCCAAAAGCCATGGAATATGTCATGCCCTGTGGGGCCCATGCTGCTAGGACGGGCGAGGCCTGTGGAGAGGCTCAGCTCGGAGGTGAGGGAAGCTCCAAGTCCACTGCCGCTCACCCACTGCAGCCCTCCCAGAGTCCATGCCCTCAATGCCACATAAGTTCCCTGGGGTTTACATATGCAGACTCTTAGGTCTCCTTTGGGACCAGAAGCTTTTTTTTTCTTCAAGTTTATTTATTTTTGAGAGAGAAAAAGCACAAGTAGGGGAGGGGCAGAGAAAAAGAAGAAGACACAGAACCCGAAGACACTGAACGAGGCTCCAAAGTCTGAGTTGGGAGTGCAGAGCCCAACGTCGGGCCCTGAACTCACAAATCATGAAATCATGACCTGAGCTGATGTCAGACACTCAACTGACTGAGCCACCCAGGCACCCCTGAGACCAGAAGCTTGCTGAGGGCAGGAACATCTTCAAGCATTAAGAGTCAGAAAGCATCTGGGTTCAAATAGCAGCGTGACTGCTCCCCAGCTGAATGACCTTGGTTGGGTGGGTCACTAATATTTGTGTGTTTCATTGTCCTCATCTGTAATATCCACCCCTGAGTTGTTGAGGGGATAAAGGCGTTAAACTACGCATGTACAGTGCACACAGTGAGTGTCTGATATGGAGTCGGTGGTCAGTGCTCACTGACACTGAGCACAGTCCCTTCCTCCACCCACTCCAGCACCCAGTATGGCTCTGGGCACAAAGTGTGTGCTCAGTCTCTCCTTACTAAGTCCTAACTTCCAGAGAAAAAGGCCCCCAACTCCATGCCCAGGAACTCCTCAGGGTCTGTATCATAGACTCCCACGGGGCTTTGACCCTTGGACTTAGCTTGGAGCATTTCCCTTTTGGCTTCTTTGCCCCCAGCAAAATGATCTCCTTGTCTCTCCTAGACCTGCCCAGCAGGATGCTCAGGGTTTGGCATACGTGGACATGAAGAGCTCTTGGTTGGTTCTGCTTCAGGGATGAGCTATAGTGGAGGTGGCTGCTTGGCTGGGGACAAAGGGAATGGAAGCCTATCTTGCCTGCCAGCCCAAGGCCCATGGGGGTGGGCAGGCTGCCCAGGTCAAGCCCTTGGGCATCTCAGCCATTAGGCCAAATATCCCAACCCCCTAGCATTTTTGCCCTCTTTCTAGGTACACTCCTCTCCCAGGTGGGTGCCTGATTTACTCTGCCTTCCAGAATAGCATCCTGTCTCCCCCTCCAAAAGCCTCTATTACCTTACTTATTTCATTTTTCATAGCATGTATCATTATGTGAAATTTTATTTTTGTTTATTTTTTAAAATGTCTATTTATTGAGAGAGAGAAAGAGAGAGAGAGAGAGAGAGCAAGCAGGGGAAGGACATAGAGAGAGGAGAGAATCCCAAGCAGGCTCTGCACTGAGCCCCACATGGGGCTCAAACTCACGAACCTTGAGATCATGATCCGAGCCAAAATCAAGAGTCAGACGCTTAACAAACTAAGCCACTCAGGCACCCTGAAATTTTATTATTAGGACTTTTCCAGTATCCTTTCCACTAGAATTTAAGTTCCTTAAGGGCTGGACTTTTGTCTGTTTTATGATTACCTTCAGAGAACAGGTGGAGAATCTCTCTTATTTAATACGTGAGCATACTGGGGCACCTGGGTGGCTCAGTTGGTTAAGGGTCTGACTCTAGCTCAGGACGTGATTTCATGGTTCGTGAGTTCAAGCCCATGTCAGGCTCTGTGATGACAGCTCAGAGCCTTGAGCCTGCTTTGGATTCTGTGTCTCCCTCTCTCTCTGCCCCTCCCCTGATCATTCTCAGTCTCTGTCTCCCTCTCTCTCAAAAATAAATATTTTTTAAAAATTAGTAAGCATAATGAGGTCACCAGGTTAGTGAGTAGCAGAATGAAGATTCAGGGCCAGGTCTGTCTCATAGTCAAATACATTCTGAACCTTTGCCATAAGACAGAGCTTGATAAACCTGGTAAGATGGAGTGGGAAGGAGAAGGCATAGGCCTTGAGTCCTGTAGTTTGTTTCAGCTATAAGAGGGCAGGAGGCATTTACGGAACTTCTAGGAGCCTTCTCCAGCACTGTTGCAGGAGGCAAAGTCAGGTGGGCTTCACTCTTGCCTTCTTGAATTCAGATCATGGGCTGTTTAGACAGAAACACACTTTCTAGCCTCTTCACTGCCAAGCAGACGGTGCTAGAAGCTATAAAGGTCAAAAAGTGCTTTCCAGGTGCTGTCTTAGTCTGCTTAGACTGCTGTAACAAAATGCCATGACTAGGTGGCTTTAACAACAGGGATTTATTTATTGCAGCTCTGGAGGCTGGAAAGTCCAAGACAAAGCACTGGCTGGTTTGTAGGTGGCTGCTTTCTTGCTGTATCCTCACATGGCAGAGAGATAGCATTCCTATTCCTCTTTCTCTGATCTCTTCTTACAAGGGCACTAACCCCCCATTCATGAGGGTACCACATTCATGACCTAATTACCTCCCAAAGGCCCCTCGTCACTTGGGGATTAGGCCTTAAACATATGAATTTGGGAAGGGCCCCAACATCCAGTCCACAGCAGGTGCTGACTGTATTACTCAGGAAAGCCTGGACAGTGGGGTCTTGGAGAGTGGCTGCTGTGGGAAATGCCGTCAGGGAAGGCACTTTGGGCAGGGGGCAACAGGAATAACGGCCAATGAGAGTGAGGGCCTGTATAAAGAATGGTAAGGGCTCCCACGGCCAGGTATGTAGAGTGCTGGGGAATGGCAGTGATGGTGTGAAAGGTGGTTCAGAAGGTAGGCTGGAGTCAAATTACGGAAAGCCTAAAAGAGACTGAGAAAGTCCGCTTCCTAGGGAGCATAGTAGATAAGAACAAGGACAGAGCAGCTGATGCTATGTGTTAGGTGCTTTACGTTTAACAAAGCAATTTCCAGACATTCCTCTGCCCTGTCCTCACAGCTGGAAGCATGCAGGCCAAAGCGGCAAGTTTAGGATCAGGAGCCCACGGCCCGCTCCATTCAGGCAAAAGTTGTGCAGACTTGAACAAGTCACCTCGCATCTCCACGTCTCCCCTTACTCCTCTGACAACAGGGCCCAGTTCTCAGAAGTTCAGGAAGGATTACACAAGACCATACACGTGAAAAAACAAAATGCTGCATTTATCTTCTGGTCCTCAGTCCTTTCTTTGTAAAACGGGTACAATTCCTGTCGTGCCTAATTTAGGTGGCTGTGGCGCAACTTTGTAATCAAGGCCAAAAGGGAAGAATCTTATTAACGAGGCCAGAAAAATCAGTGTTTCTTGGTTAGCAGGCTGAGAGCCTCAAGGAAGACGCTTTTGGCTCGTTTAACAGCTTCTCTTAACTTATTTGGGACTGGGAGGAAGAGCACAGAAACCGCCTCAACTCACACAAAAGGAGAAGAGATGCGGCGCTGAACACTGACGTCACTCAAGCCTCTCACTTAAAGGGCCAGAACATTTCGTGCTCCGTCTCCGCCTCCCCGAGATAACCAATCAGAGAGCGAGCCGGGCCGTGACGCTATCTCTCCGCGACGAGGCCGGCTGGCGGCGGCGTTTCCTGGTGACCGAGGCGGGGCGCCGAGGCGATGGGCAGCCGAGAGGTGCTGGGCCAAGCGGCCCGGCTGGCCTCCTCCGGTCTGCTCCTACAGGTACTCTGCCCGGCCGGCTGCAGACCGACCTGCAGCCGGACCCGCAGTCCGGAGGCGCGAGGAGGTGGCCCTGGGGCCCTTGAGAGCGCGCTTTCGGGCACACCCAGTCCCGGCGTGGACCCCACTACTGAGGGTTCAACAAAGAGGCGGTGGCGGTTGAGAACGGGCGCCTGGGCAGGAGTTCAGAGTCCTGACTGGGAGACTGCAAACATGTCGCTTTCCTTATGAGCGTTATATTTCCCATATGGTAGTAGGAGAGAATTAGGTGGCAGGGGCGCCTTCGGTGCTCTAGAATTTGATGTTCTTAAGGCAAGGGGTTCACACCTCCCCCCACCGCTGACCCTCAGACACCTTCTTCAAGCTCTCGGACTCTGAGTTCACAGAGACAAGATGGCATAGCTAAGAAAAAGATACCTGGGCTGCCTAGATTGGAAACCCGGTTCTACCATATGTTTTCTGCATGAACCAGGACAAAGGTTTTCTCTAGCTAAGCCTCAGCTCCTCATCGGGAAAATCAGATGAGTAATTGTACCTCGCTCATAAAGTTTCTATGAGGCTTGACTGGAGTCATTCAGATAATCGTATTTAATGGTGTACCTGGCTCTTGGTAGGCACCTAGTAAATGTTAGCTGCATTTTCCGTCTGGCTATGTGACCTTGGATAAGTCACTTGCCCTTCCTGGCCCCAATTTTCATCATCTGTCAGATAAGGTACATGCCAGTTGGGCCAAATGGTGTTTAAAGATTCTTTTAACATTAGGAGCTCGTCATTCTAAGTGGCTCAGTTTTCCTGTGTTGCACTCTTGAGCCATTCAGCCCTTATTCAGAAGAGTCCTGAATCCACCCACCCCCTATATTTTAGAGGCAGCATTTCACTTGGATATTAGGAGAGACAACCAGGCACACTTGAGCTCAAGTTTGGTCCTTGTCACTTGGTAGTTCCTACTCTTGTGAAAATCGCTTTACTTCAAGTATCAGTTTCCTCATCTTAAATGAGAACATTAATACAACCTCATAGGGTCATTAGCAAGATTAGATGACGTGCCTGTTAAGTGCCTGGTGCATTATAAGTACTTAGTGAATGTTAGGTATTTTTATTATGGTAATAAGGATTTTTTAAATGGTCATTATAGGAATGGAATGAAACAATCTGCATAGAGCATGTAGAAGAGTTCCTTGCACAAGTTATATGCTTAATAAACATTCACTTAACCCTAAATTAGCTGAGCTGAACTCTGAATGTACCAAGTTTTTTTCTTCTATCCATGACATAAAAAATGGAGTTCAATGCTTTATCCACAGTGCTGATTGTTCAGGTGTTGATGATACCTTACCGCCCAGATTGGCTTCAGAAAAAGAAAACAAGTGTTGGGACACCTGGGTGGCCCAGCTAGTTAAGTGGTCCAACTTTTTTTTAAAAAATGTCTTTATTTTTGAGAGCCAGAGACAGAGGGAGTGGGGGAGGGGCAGAGAGCGAGAGAGAGACACACAGAATCTGAAGCAGGCTCCAGGCTCTGAGCTGTCAGCACAGAGCTTGACGGGGGCTCGAACCCACAGACTGTGAGATCATGACCTGAGCCGAAGTTGGACACTTTAACCAACTGAGCCACCCAGGGGCCCCTAAATGTCCAACTTTTGATATTGACTCAGGTTGTGATCCCAAGGTTGTAAGGTCAAGCCCCATGTTGGGCTCTGTGCTGTCAACATGGAGCCTGCTTGGGATTCTCACTCTCAGTCCCTTCCCTGCTCACACGCACATTCTCTCCCTCTCTCCAAATAAATAAATACTAAAACAAAAGAGAGGGAGAGAGAGAAAAAACAAGTCTTAGCAGAAAACATAGTGGACGAGGAGTCAGGTGGCCTACCATAAAGCCAAGCTGGGTCATATGATTTTTATGTGACATCGGGCAAATCACTTTGCTCTGAGTCTTAACTTACTTCCTGTGCATTTATCCAGTTGCTTTTAAGGATCAAATAATTAACAGATATGAAAGAGCTTTTTTTAAACTGTAAAGTCCATTACAAAGTTAAATGAAGACTGTGTTGCTACTAAGGGCCACTTATGTGGAGCAAATACTAGGTCACATGAACAACCTCAGAGCTTCATTAACTCAACCCTTTCTTCAAACCAATTAGGTTTAGACCATGATAACTTTGACAGTGAAGTTAACTAAATGTATGTATGTCATTTTTTAAAAACAGCCATAATCTAGGCTTTCTGAGTGTTTTAATCTGGTTTTGGATGTCTCAAATTACAATGCAGACATTTGAGGTAGGTTTGCAATTGTATTGTATCCTGCAAGAATTTGAGCTGGCCATAGTGAAAGTATTAGTCCTTTTAATTGTTTTTTAAGTTTATTTATTTATTTTGTGAGGAAGAGAGCTCATGACCGGGGGGAGGAGTGGAGAGAGAAGGACAGAGAGAAAGAATCCCAAGCAGGCTCCACACTGTCAGTGCAGAGCCCCACATGGTGCTCAGTCCCGTGAACTGTGAGATGACCTGAGCCAAAATCCAGAGAGGCTTAACCAACTGAGTCACCCAGGCGCCCCAATGCCTTTCACTTGTATGCATTTTATAAAAATGCTTTCACCTCTAAGATCTTGTTTGATGCTTATTATCAACCTATAAGATAGGTAGCCTCATTCAACAGAAGGAAATTGAGGCTTATAAGAGTTAGGAGACAAGGGGCCTAACAGCTAAATGGTGATTTGAGGCTCTCAGTTGAGTGGTTTTTCCATTCAGGGCTCCATGAATTGGCTTCAAATGTCTAAATTTGAGTAAAACAATTGGTAAGTAGGTGTGTATCTGCATGATTCCAAGGAGAACTAGAGTTTTCATCAGACTCTCAAAAGGCCACCTTTGACTCCATACTGCGATATCTTGGCTTTGGAGACCTTGATGCTCTGACACTTCAGGGACAGTGTTAAAGTGCACTCTCCTTTTTTGGTCCTACCTTTCCCCAGAGATTTTTAGACTGTTGTGGTCCATTGGCATATTTTGATTGAGTCTTTCAAATTGCAGCTCTTCACAGAGACCTCGGAGTGATTTGTCATTTGCTGTGGATCACACTGTGCAGTTACACCTGTTGTGCTTCCTGGCTGCAGAGGGGCGCTGAGGTTTGCCCCCTGCTCAGCATCCACATTTAGCATCCCCACTTAACGCCCTGTTCTTTGTCTCATGGAAGAATTCCTTGCTCAGGTGGTTTTCTTGCATTGACAGGTTTGAAGTCTTGGGATATATTCCTTTCAAATGGCAATAGGTGGGAAGAGATTAAATGTCATTATCAGAATCCCCAGATATTGCTAGGCAGAGAAGAGAGATTAGACCTGTGATTCCTAGAGACTGACATTCCCTGCAGGCTCCCACTTGCTAAGTGTGTGCTATTTCTAAACAGGCTGGAGGGAGGGCCAGTGTGAAGCACTGACTAGAATTCTCTGTCTCCTGAAGTGCCTGACTTCGAGCCCAAAGAATTCACCATGTCAGGGCCTCCCTCTTATCAGTAAATTAGATTTCCAAGTGCCTTTGTGGGCTCTTCTACCATCACACAGGAGGGCTGAGGGACCCCCAAGGAATGAAATTTCACCAGAAACACAGGTGGAGCGTTTTCAGGAGGGTCTCTGTGGCAAAGCTGCTGTATGTCAGTGGGTTATTAGGAAGAGCAGCCATGTTGTTTTCATTTCAACAAAATAGATATTACGAACATAATGTATTCTCTTCTTTCTCTGTAGGTGTTGTTTCGATTGATCACCTTTATCTTGAATGCATTCATTCTTCGCTTCCTGTCAAAGGAAATCGTTGGCATAGTGAATGTGAGGTAAGAAGGGAGTACCCTGGCATCGCCCACAACTCACGTTCCCAGTCAGGGTACCTGTGTGTCATCCTTCGAGTTTAGAAGCGTGGACCTTTACCAGAAGCAGAGTGTTTTAGCAGTGGGCTGAGGAAAAGCATGCCGGGGTTGGGGAATGAGCAGGCAGAGCTGCTTTTAATGGATCCATGGAGTGTTTTCCATTAGCAGCCTCCAAATGCACATTTCTCTGCCAGCTGTTCCGGTTTGTCTGCTCTTAGAACCCAGGAGAGGAGTGGGAGTAATTCGTTGCAAACCCTGTCTCAGGTATAATCCTGTGTTCTCGTCCCGCTGACAGCAAAGGAAGTGGGAATCCTGCAGCCGGTAAGGATGTGCTCGGTAATTACGCGGCTGGAGCAGCCTGCCTGCCCTCCTTAGTGACTTTTATAATCAGAAGATGGTCGTTAGGGTGAGAGTGTGTGTCCTGGTCATGAGTCCCTTGGCAGCTCTTAGAAAGCTGCCTTGCTTTGTCTTTTAGACTTCATTTGTTTCTTCTGCTCTCCTTTCTGTTCAAGGGCACCCACGCACATTCTGTGTTCACAAATGACACGGAAGTATACGAAGTGATGTGAATGCTCAGGATAGCTCCACTTCTCAGGTGTATCTTCATGTCCTGATAAATAAGACAGTATGTTCCAGACAGCATTTTCCATTGAATATCCACCAAACATATGCTCTGGGCTCTGTCCTCAGAGCTTAGAGAAGGTTCTCACCGACGGGCAAAGGAATCATCTGGGGGAGTTTTGCACTGGGCAAGGCTGAGAAGGGATCCAGGAATCAGTATTTTGACAAGCTCCTTAGGTGATTTTGAAGCAGGGGCCATATTTTGAGAAATACTGTTTTAAAAGAGAGAAGGAGGGCACGTGGCTGGCTCAGTGGAGTGTGTGACTCTCTGATCTCAGGGATGTAAGTTCAAGTTCCATGTTGGGTGTAGAGATTACTTAAAAATAAAATCCTAGGGGTGCCTGGATGGCTTAGATGGTTGAGCATCTGACTTTGGTTTGGGTCATGATCTCATGGTTCGTGGGTGTGAGCCCCACATTAGGCTTACTGCTGTCAGCACAGAACCTGCTTCAGATCCTCTGTCTACCCCCTGCCCCGCCCCTCCCTCTCTGGTTCTCTCTCTTCATCTCTCTCTCTCTCAAAATAAATAAACTTAAAAATAAATAAATAATAAAAGCAGGAAGGAAGAGGACCAAATCTCTTAGGTGCTCAGGTTTGAAAGCAGTTTGGGCCTCTTGCCATCTGGTTTTCTCTAGATTGGCGGTCTCTGCTTAGCATATGGTTCAGTCTCCTCCTTCCCAGTGTTGGACAGAAGCACTGGATAGCAGCATGATCCTTGGACGTCCTCAGAGAGACCTTAACCCTGGGCTGTGCCCATGCTGGCTTCATCACCCATGGCCTATCGGTGAGGGAAAACCTCAGCTACTACTCCTGCAGGTGCAGGAGGGTCCACCTAAATATCGCCCACCCGGGAAAGATGGAGACAAGCCTTGCTGACCTGGGCTGCAGCGGCCTCTGTAATGGCCCCAGCCTATTACCTATTACCTATTGCCTATTGCCTGTCCTGAGATGCTTTTGCCCAGGGCTGCCACTTAGAGCCTCAGTTTCTGTCATAAGAGCTGATCGGTCACCAGTCTCAGGGGGACCTAGAGGTCCCCTTGCTCTGTGTGGTCATAAAAGCAGGAAGGAAGAGGACCAAATCTCTTAGGTGCTCAGGTTTGAAAGCAGTTTGGGCCTCTTGCCATCTGGTTTTCCCTTTCTCCTCCTATTGTCAGAGCTGTACCTCTGCCTATAGCCGTGAGGCCTTAGGCTTTGGGGGCCACTGGGGCAGTTTTTGTCCCAGGTATGATGCCTATAGACACACACTCTGGTGTCCCTTGTTTGGTTCCTAACTCTGTTATTCAAGTGAATCAGACTAGTACCAGGGCCGTGTAAAAACTCACTACCCTTCACATCACCACCAGTGATATAGGACCACAACATTTTCTTCCTGTCGCTGGCAAAATCTCAGAAATTCTGTCTATGAAAAAAAATTAGAGTCATTATTGATTTCTTCTTTTTTTTTAATGTTTGTTTATTTTTGAGAGAGAGTATGAACAGGGGAGGGCCAAGGCGGGGGAGGGGGGGTGCAGAGATATCCAAGCAGGCTCCAGGCTCTGAGCTGTCAGTACAGAGCCCAATGTGGGGCTCAAACACATAAACCACGAGATCATGACCCGAGCCAAAGTCAGAAGCTTAACCTACTGAACCACCCAAGCGTCCCCATTATTGATTTCTCCTTTTTCTTTAAAGGCTAACACTGCTTTACTCGACCACCATCTTCCTGGCCAGAGAGGCCTTCCGTAGAGCATGTCTGAGTGGGGATGCCCAGCGAGACTGGAGCCAGACCTTCAACCTCCTGTGGCTAACGTGAGTTGTGTTTCAGCAGGAGACCATGCAAAATCAAGTGTCCTAAGTGTTGTGAGTTAAACAGCAACACTTACCCAAAGCTAAATTATCTCCAGTTTGGGTTTCTGGGACCTGAGCAGGGGATAGGAGGGAGAAGGCATCCATGTGGAAGGAGTTTCTTGGCTGCTTTCTCTCTGGATGGCCAGGAGCCAGGAGGAGGCTCTGGGTGGGGGTTTCAGGGCCAGGTTTCTACCCTCTTGGGAGGTTGTTTCTGCCGTTCCTGATGCCCACTCTGGGCCCCAGTGGGCCTTTACTGTCTTCTTTATTCCTAATCTTCCCCCCTCCCTGTGGTCTTCTCTGAGCTTTTAACAACCACTTAGAATTTTTTTTGAAAACCTTTTAGGGCTTTCATTATATCTTTCTTCAATTTTGTTATGCTGATTTCAGTTCTCAGCCCTTTAGAATATTCTTGAAGATCAAGTACATCAGCTAAAACTTGTAATGGCTTTTCTGCAGTTAGATTCCTGCAGGGAGGGCTGGTGCTTGAGGTTTTTTTTTTCAGTGCTGCCTTCCATAACTCCTTTTTGCCTCATGGAAATGACTGTCACGAGGCTGGTAGGTGTTTGTTTTATTACAGGGATAACTATTGGCTCCCCTGTCATTTTGAAGTGCTCTGTGCTGCACATGCTAGGGGATACTGTGCATTGGGCTGCTGTTTATTTGGGTACAAGAACTGACCTTATACACTCTGTTAGTCATTTGTGGTGCAAACAACAGCCACATACTTGCCGGGGTTTTTGTTTATCTTGTCAGTGTAACACAGTGCATAGGAGTGTAGCCTTATGAATTAGATGGGTAGTGGGTCCTGCTTCTGCCCTTGGCTAACTGTCCATGACCTTGGCCAAATTCCCCAGTGCTTGTCAGCCTTAGTTTCCTCATCATTTCAATGGGGATAATAGCAAGATCGTTGTGAGGTGTCTGTGAGGTAGAGGGGGTGGATCTGAGGCCTGGCATGTAGTAAGTGCCTTAATAAGTGGCAGCTATTTTTTAAATTCTACTTCTTTCTGTTCAGTGTTACTATTTTACTATTTTTATTTTTAGCATATTAAAAAACATTTTTTCTTTTTCTAGAGTCCCCCTGGGTATGTTTTGGTCCTTGCTCCTGGGCTGGGTGTGGTTACAGTTGCTGGAAGTGCCTGATCCTCATGCCGTCCCCCACTATGGAAGTGGAGTGGTGTTGTTCGGTCTTTCAGCTGTGGTGGAGCTTCTGGGAGAACCCTTCTGGGTCTTGGCACAAGCACAGATGTTTGTCAAGCTCAAGGTCAGCATGCCTTCTGCTTTGATGGGAAATGCGAAGAATAAGGGAAAGAGTGGTTTCTGAAGAAGATCTTCTAGGAGTGATGATTTTTTCAGATTTTCATTTAAAAAGAAATTTCGAAAAAGGTAACATGATCAGTTTAATTCATTCCCTTGAAATTTGGCAGATGGGCTAGGCTTTAAGTTTACATCTGCTATACTATTAATGCAAAAATAGGTTTACTAATAGGGAAGTCATTTGCTTAGATAAGAATTTAAGAGGACTGTAAAGGTTTTTCAGATTTTCTAGTGATTCTGTTCTTAATTATTTACTAATTAATTTTCATCTTTTAAAATCTTTTGTTTAATATGTACAAAAGAATATACGCTGTATGCGTAAATCTTTTTTTTTAAAGTTTATTTATTTATTTTTGAGAGAGACAAGGACAGTGTGAATTGTGGAGGGCCAAAGAGAGGGTGAGAGAGAATCCCAAGCAGGATCTACACTGTCAGTGCAGAGCCTGATGCAGGGCTTGAACTCACAAACCCATGAGATCATGACCTGAGCTGAAATCAAGAGTCAGACACTTAACCAACTGAGCCACCTGAGTGCCCACTGTATGTGTAAATCTTAAAGCATGATAATACTGAAAATCCTTGAATTTACTACCCAGCCCAACTAGAACATTATCAGTGCTGTCTGACCACGTGCCCAACCCCCACTGCCAGGGTAACCACTATCCTAGATTTCTATTTGTCATTCCTGTGCATCTTTAGTTTTTAATAATGTAAAGTACACCCTTTACTACATATTTGCAGGTGATTGCCGAGAGCCTGTCAGTCATCCTCAAGAGTGTCCTGACAGCTTTTCTTGTGCTATGGTCGCCTCACTGGGGGCTATACATTTTCTCTTTGGCCCAGGTAAGAGTTATGGTTTTTCACTTTGGTATAATCTGTGTTTCAACATTTGATTTTTTCTTTTTTTCTTTTTTAAGTTTAGTCATTTATTATTTCTGAGAGAGAGAGAGAGAGGGTGCGTGAGCGCACAAGCAGGGGATGGGCAGAGAGAGAGAGGGAGACACAGAATCCAAAGCAGGCTCCAGGCTCTGAGTTGTCAGCACAGAGCACCACACAGGACTCAAACTCAATAACCGTGAGATCATGACCTGAGCGGAAGTCAGACGCTTAACTGACTGAGCCACCCAGGAGCCCCTGATTTTTTTTCTTCTTGTTCTGTTAACTGTGTGGTTTACATTTGCAGTATTCGTGAGTGTGAGGCAGGCTGGAAGCTCTAGTAAGATGGTCTTGACAGTTCTTTTCCTTTGGCTGTCCATCCTACTCCACGTGCTGATGCTCCTGGTTTCCCCAGGGGCCTGGTGAAGGCCCTGCACTTGGCCTCATTGTCAAACATAACAACTCTTTTAGATGTTCTGTGAGCGAGCCAGACCAAACTCACCTTTGATTGTCTTACTGTCTTAGGGAGGAGGGAGAAGAGCAGTGAGGGAGTGCGGGGGTAACCAAATTGCACGTGTGTTTTTTTTTCCCTGGATTTTAATCAGTTGTTCTCAGAATAGGAAGAAACTCTGCCAAGCCTGTTTGAAACTTGCATTGAAATCTTACACAATGCAGAGCATATGAATTGAGTCTTAGTGGGCACATTCTCACTTTCAGAGGCTCCGGCCTCGTTGCCATACCATTTTCTAGTTCTAGTTCGTGTCTGGAGCTCAAATAAAAGTACGACTAGAGTACAGTGCTCATTTTAAAAACAAAACCTAAGATTAGATAGTTACCAGAACATCTTATAGGACAAAGCAGTTTGTAATTTTTCCTAATGTATAGCAAGATAAGTTAAAATTCTTAGTCACAGTTTTAGTGAAAATCTTTCCTGTGTCCTAAGTAAAAACAGCAAATGTATTTATGAACACAGAAAAAGCAGATTTAAAAATAATACTATAAGAATGAAAATTACCTCCCCAAAGCAGTCTGCAAACAGCTATATATTTTAGAGAAGTTATTTGTGATTATTTTTGCCATGTTTATTAGATCTGGGACTACAGTACTCTGCATTCATCGTGTTTTTGATATATTCTCCCTAATAGAACAGGAGGCCATGGAGACGCCTGGTTATTGGTTGGCCCTTCTTGGGAAAGGCACTTGCATTATGACTTTCTGATGGTCATAGCTCCCACTCAGGATTCATCATAGGTCAGCAAGGCCCATTCTAAGTTTACTTGCTTTCTTATGATAAGACTTCAGAGAGCTCTTCTCTGCTACGTTCTCTGTCAGTGTCTGTGTGAGAGGCCTGAGAGCCAATAGCACCTCACCTCAGCAGGTGATCCCTGCCCAGGGCTCTGGGATTCCCCTTTGTCTAGCTTGCCTCTAGGTTCCTCCCTAAACAGCCCCTTACCCCATTATATATCAAGTAAAAGGGTCATTTCAGAATATGTAAAAAATTCTTACAACTCAACAATGAGAAGATAGACTACCCCAAAAGTGGGTAAAGGACCCGAATAAACATTTTTCCAAAGAAGATATACAAATAAATAGCCAATAAGCACATGAAAAGATGCTTAATATCATCAATCACTAGACAGATGTAAGTTAAAAACAATGAGATGACTACTTTATACCCATTAGGATGGCTGTTATCAAAAAAAAAACCCAAAAAAACCCACAAACAAACCCAGAAAATAGCAAGTGTTGCTGAGGATATGGAGAAATTGGAACCCTCATACCTTGCTGCTGGGAATATAAATGGTGCAGCCACTGTGGAAAACAGTTTGGCAGTTCCTCAAAAAGTTAAAATGTAGGGGCGCCTGGGTGGTTCAGTTGGTTAAGTGTTGGACTTCGGCTCAGGTCCTGATCTCCTCCATTGGGCTCTCTGCTGTCAGCACAGAGTCCTCTTCAGATCCTCTATCCCCTCCTCTCTCTGCCCCTCCCCTGCTTGTGCTCGCTTGCTCTCTCTCTCTCAAAAATAAGCATTAAAAAAAAAGTTAGATGTAGAACAGATGCATGCCCAGTGGTTTGACTCCTAGGTACATACCCAAAAGAATGAAAGAGTGTGTTCAAACATCCTGTACACAGATGTTCATAGCAGCACTGTTCACCACAGCCAAAAGGAGGAAATAACCCAGATGTCCATCAGCTGATGAATGGATAAACAAAATATGACATATCTATGCATGGAATATTACTCAGCCATAAAAATAATCACGTGCCACAACACGATGAACTTTGAAAACATACCAAGTGAACGAAGCCAGACTCAAAAGGCCACCTATTGTATGATTGCATTAATATATAATGTCCAGAATAAGCAAATCCATAGAGACAAAGCAGATTTTGATTGCCAGGGATGGAGGAATAGAAAGTGACTGCTTAATGGGCACAGAATTTCCTTTTGGAGTGATGGAAATGTTCTGGAATGAAACAGGGGTGGTGGTTTACAGCACTGTGAATGTACTAAAAGCTACTGAATTGTATATTTTAAAATGGTTAAAACAGTCAACGTCATGTTGTGTGAATTTTTCCTCAATGGAAAGGGGGGAGGGATCACGTAGCTGGGATTCACTGCATGAAGACTACCCACAGGTTGTCACTGCCTCCCCAGGCACTGCTGTTTGGGGAGATGAAGGGAGGTGGGGAAGGGGCCTCACGTCACAGAGGATGTTGCAGCTGGTGCTGTGGCTCACAGCAGAGCTGCCGTGTCTTAAAGGGCTTGAGGCATGAAAGAAGGACGGTGGATGGCGGGCTCTGTCCGCCGGCATGGATAAGGGTGGAGAGCTGAGGAGCCTGAACCCTCTGGACAAGACTTCCCTTTCTCCTTGCTCTGTGCCTTTGCCACAGGAGCAGGCCTGGCATTACTGGATTGAAAGCGGGGCCTGGAGGCCCTGTTGCTTCCTGAGCTAGTGCACTTTGCTGTTCCCAGCGGGGAAAGAAGGGAGAAAGGAGCTGTGAAAGGGGCTGTTTGGATACTCCTCCCAGCCTGCAAACAAAACCCCAGGCTGCTGCTCCTGGCCAAAAGCCACCCTTTTGTCCTGGGTGAGTGGAGGGAAGGGTGGGCCCTCTTAGCGCCCCCCTGACTCCCTCCCCTGCCCTGTAGTAGCTCTGGCCCTGCCCGCACACCGGGCCAAGAGGAGGGAGCCAACAGCTCAGGTCTGCTTGTAATCACAGTGTCACAGGCTTCCTGGGTTTATGGAAAAGCCCCCATCCTAAATGACGGCAAGTCCCGGATATTAGCACAGCACACATAGGTGGGTCCTCACGGTGTGCTGTCTGGGCAGGAGCCTCGTTCCTGTAGCCAACTGGAACATTTGGAGAACATATGTGACATTGCTGCGGTGGTGGCACAAAGGAATGTCTGTCATGGGAATTACATTCTGCCTGCCTGGAAGTACTGTTCTCCCAGTCAGCTCAAGGGTTTGGAGCACTTTCCCCAGAGATGCCCCAACAGTGCTGGCTCTTTGTGAGTAGTGCTCCTTTCCAGAGGGTGGGGCATCACTCACTAGAAGGTACAGTTAAAAAAGACAGGTCTAGGGGCGCCTGGGTGGCTTAGTTGGTTGAGCGTCCGACTTTCGCTCGGGTCATGATCTCGCGGTTCGTGGGTTCGAGCCCCGCATCGGGCTCTGTGCTGACTGCCAGCTCAGAGCCTGGAGCCTGTTTCAGTCTGTGACTCCCTCTCTCTCTGACCCTCCCCTGCTCACGCTGTCTCTCTCTCTCTCCTAGAAATAAATAAAAATATTAAAAAAAAAAAAAAAAGACAGGTCTATTTCCCTCTCTCTCTTTTTTTTTTTTTTTTTTTTTTAAGATTGATTGATTGATTGAGAGAGGGAGAGAGAGAATCCCAGCTGGTTCCAGACCATCAGCAGAGGCTGATGTGGGACTTGAACTCACGAACTGTGAGATCATGACCTGAGCCAAAATCAAGAGTCAGACGCTTAACTGACTGAGCTACCTGGGTGCCCCAAGACATTTCTTGATGGGCCTTGGAGGTCAAATTCATAGGTATATCTTAATTCTGCCTATATTAAAACTGTGCAATTTAAATCCACTATTTTCTTTTCACAGCTTTTTTATACTGCAGTTCTGGTGCTCTGCTATGCTATTTATTTCACAAAGTTATTGGGCTCCTCAGAATCAACCAAGCAACAGACTCTTCCTGTCTCCAGAATGACAGATCTGTTACCCAGTATTACAGGAAGTAGAGTAAGTAATACATTCAATCTCTTATCGTTTTAATCACAGATCCTGATTATCCTTGAAAGAAAGAAACCGTTACTTTGCTTATTGCTATAATAGCAAGGACAGCTTCATAGCTCATATTTATTGAGTGCTCACTATGTACTAGGCCAAGGTTTCTCAGCCTTGACACTGTTGACATTTTGGGCTGGATAATTCTGTGTTGTGGGGCTGTCTAGTGGATTATAGGATGTTTAGCAGCATTCTTGATCTTAACCCACTAGATACCAGTAGCTACCACCTCTCAGCTGTAATAACCAAAAATGTCTCCAGACACCAATGTCCCCTGGGGGGTAACACTGCCCCACCTTGAGAACCACTTTGCTAGCCCCTATGCTGTTGCTTTACATGCCTTATTTAATACTTATACCCACTCTGTGAGGCTGATGTTATTATTACAATTTTAGGGTTGAGGAACTGAACCTTAGAGACTAACTATGTGGCCAAGGTGAGGTTCAGAGTGAGGGCAGGAGCCCAGAGTGGCTTGATTCCCCATAGAGCACAGGCTGTAACCACCGTGCGCCACTCTCTATGTTCTGCTGTGTCTCGGTGTTTCCCAGGACTGACCTCCAGCGCAGACAGTCCAGCATGCTGACAGAGCAGGGATGGCCCCAGCACAGCTCCATTACCTAGTATCGGGCCCATCTTTCCGGTGACCCACTTTCCTGTGTAGACCACTGAGGATTCTAGCTGCTGATGTGTGGGAGTGAGGAATAACCTTTCTCTTCTTTACTCTCCAACTCTCAGTCCATTTGCCTTTTATTTCCTAACTCTGGTGGGGTCAGTGCTCTGTGTGTGGCCCCAGAGTTGCACACGTGATAATATGCCACGTTGCCTCTGCTCAGATGCTTTGTGAGCTGGGCTGACTCACTTTCCCTCACTTTCACTATGTGTTTGCTGCACGTAGTGGAGGTGAGGCTTCAGCTGGACTTCTCCTTATGCCTCTGTTGTGATTAGTTGAGAAAATAGGAAAGTATTTGAGATATAAGTCTCAGAACTTACGGAATCCTGTTATACAGCTTTTCAAGACCAGATGTTATGTGACAAAGCCAGATATGTTCTCATTTGTTAGATAAGAGCTCTCCATTCTGATCACACAGATCACCTCTAACCTAAATCAACATGGCAGTTTTGAGATACCAAGCTGCCTCATCTGCGGGCTTAGTGGGTAAGGACTTGGGGTCACTTCTCCTGCCTGGCGCGTCTGCCACCTGCCCCCAGAGTGGCTTTTCCTACTGTGCCAGCCCCTGTGCCCAGCAGTATTTTGGAAAAGAGCATTTGGACTATTAATACAGGCCAGGAGATAGAGGGTAATGAAAAGAGCCTCCGTGTGTATTTAATTCTGTGGTGGGCTTACACAGCTCTCACACACACATCTGAGCTGCAGTTTCCGTATCTGTCAGATGGGGATACTAAAAGTACCTTTCTCTTAAGGTGCTTGTGGGAACGGGATGAGACGCAGCATCTGAATACTTAATACCATGGCTGGCGGAGGTAGGTGTCCATAAGTGACAGGTGATACCGTGCTGCTGCTGCTCTGAGTAGGGTAGCGCCACCGGCACATCCTAACGAGGCAGACACCAACAGCATTGGGGTGGGAACCCAGTGGTTCAATCTGGCACTTGTCCAGAAAGCACCCAGGCTCATACTTCTGGACAGAAGTCTTGACCATGAGAAGGTGTGTGTCCCTGTTACACACAGTGGCGCTGTTCCTGCTGACAGAGCACAGTCCTGTGCCAGGTGCCGTCTGGGATACCGACATGTAAGAAGGTGATTGCTGGGCCTCAGGGAGCTTCTGTGCTTTTGGGAGGAAGTAAGTGCTGATGGGAAGCCTCCAGGACTCTCCAGACCTCAGGGTCCTTTTTTATTTATTTATTTATTTTAATGTTTTATTTATTTTTGAGAGAGAGAGGCAGGGACACCTGGGTGGCTCAGTCGGTTAAGCCTCCGACTTCAGCTCAGGTCATGATCTCTTGGTTCGTGGGTTCGAGCCCTGCATCTGGCTCTGTGCTGACAGCTAGCTCAGAGCCTGGAGCCTGCTTCAGATTCTGTGTCTCCCTCTCTCTCTGACCCTCCCCTGCTCAATGCTGTCTCTCTCTCTCTCCGAAATAAATTTAAAAATTTTTAAAAAAGAGGGGGGGGGCAGAGAGACAGAGAGAGAGAGAGAGAGCATGAGTGGGGGAGAAGCAGAGAGAGAGGGAGACACAGAACCAGAGCTGAAGTCCGACACTCAGCTGACTCAGCCACCCAAGCTCCTCTCAGGGGCTTTATTTTTTTATTTTTATTTTTTTAAATGTTTTATTTATTTCTGAGAGAGAGAGACAGCGTTGAGCAGGGGAGGGTCAGAGAGAGAGGGAGACACAGAATCAGAAGCTGGCTTCAGGCTCTGAGCTGGTTGTCAGATGCTGGGCTTGAACCCACGAACCGTGAGATTATGACCTGAGCCGAAGTCAGACACTTAACCGACTGAGCCACCCAGACGCCCCTCAGAGGCTTTATTTTTAAGGTGAAATAATTAGTCTGCAAAACCTGTGAGGCCCCCTTTGAAGACTTAAAGAATTGTGAAAGTATTTGAACTTCAACAAAGAACCGTTTATAATAACTGCCACTGACTGCATGCTTACTCTGAGTGGCACTATGCTAAATACTTTACATGGACTTGTGGGTTTATTTTTTTTTTAAGTTTTTTAAAAATGTTTTATTTATTTCTGACAGAGAGAGACAGCATGAGCATGGGAGGGTTAGAGAGAGGGAGACACAGAATCTGAAACAGGCTCCAGGCTCTGAGCTAGTTGTCAGCACAGAGCCCGACACGGTACTTGAACCCACGAACTGTGAGATCATGACCTGAGCTGAAGTCGGAGGCTTAACCAACTGAGCCACCCAGGCACCCCTGGACTTGTGTGTTTAAACCTCCTAATAACCCTATGAGATATTGTCTCCATTTCACAGATGAGAAAACTGAGGTTCAGAGTAGTTAAGTCCCCAAACCAAAATCACACATCTGATTTTGGACCCACTTCTCTCTAACTTGTGTCTGTGGACCAACCTTAGTCTGTGTGTTTAATCTCCCTGCTGTGTAGTCTTCCAAAAGAAATTGGTTTATTGTCCAAAGTAGTTACTTGTTGACTTCATGATTGGGAAAGTCTAGGTGGAACAATTCATTATTCAAGTTTATTTTTTTTTAAAGAGAGGAGTGAGCTGAATCTGAATGCAGTGGATGACTTTACCAGCAGCACCGTGTGCCTGCCTTCACTCTTGGAGCAGCTCTCTGCACTGTGGGTTCCCGCATACAGAGCTGGTCAATTCTACTCATAATCAATTTGACCAGATTTGGAGATTTATTTCCTGTACTTGTAGAATTCCATCTTCTCCAAAGAGACTTATTTAGCCTTAAAATAAATAGGCAATATTTCATATAATGGATGCCTTTAGATCTTTTCTATTTTTTGACACTTCTGAGTGCTTTCATATGAGAGATTTGCTAACATTTAAGAAAGGCTGAGGAACTTAACACAGCAAGTATGTCATAAGCAGTATTCTGTGTTAAGCACTGTACCAGGTGCCCTGAGTGGGGTCCCCGCCCTCAGAACTTGCATTGTGATGGCAAGGTAAGACGTGTACTCACCTAACCATTGCAAGATAGTGTGCGTGTAGTGTTAACAAAATAGAAGCACAGGGAAAGGACTGATGAACTCCATATAGGAGCATTGAGGAAGGCTTCTTGGAGGAAGCTACTTTTGAACTGGGGCTTGACATATGGGTGGACAGAGATGAATGGGCATGTGTGGTAGAAATGCTCATTTATGGCTGTGTGAAGAAGATGTTTGCTTGGGACGCATTATCTCCCCATCACTGTGTTGGCATTGGGATTGCAGAGGTGACTGGGGTACTTTGGTTTCCTCTCCCCTCCTCCACTGTCCAGCCAACCAGTTGGAGAGGAAACAGGTGGAAGGAGGTTGTGGCTTGCTGGGTGGCCTTGGTGCTATGGAGTGTGGGCTCGATTCAGGGGCAGCAGCACCTAACGAAAGGTTTGCGAACAGAGCCGTGATCCAGATGCCTGTGTTGAGGCACCTACATCTGTTTCAGATTTATCAGGTGTCTTGTTTTCTCTTATTCAGTCCTCATACCAGGAGATAGGACTCCTTATCCCATTTTGCATATGAGAAAACTGAGGCTTAGCACTAAGAAGTGGGGAGCTGCAGTTTGAGCCTCAGTCTCTGAGCTTGACTCCAAAGCCCGGACCCCTCAACAGAATGGGCTAGAGATTAGGTCGGAAGTGAAGCAGCTCACGAGGAGGCGGTGGCAGTTGTCCAGATGAGAAGCGATAAGGACAGTCGGAGGACATGTGAGCGTGAACACATCTGGGGCCGAGGCCGTAGCCCCATAGCAAGAGGGAGAGGAGAGGGTGCTGTGTGGGATGTGGAGGTGACTCGGAGACAAGACCGTGACTGCAGACTCCCCAGTGACTCTTGTCAGTGCGGGAGTACGTGGCTTCTGGACCATCCTAAGGCAGAAGAGTTTGGGAAGGGGAACAGTGACTCATATTAAAACATTGTGAGCCCCCAAGTTCAGATTGCAGGTATTCCCCTGTGGTTCTGCACGTTACCTTTTGCCATCCACGCCTCCATTTCTCCATCAGTACAGAAAGCAACGGAATGGCTTTTTCGTCAGGGGATTCCAGAGAAATGCACTGCCACATAGACCAGCTAAGCAATACCAACCTAGCTCTTGTGAAAGAGGCCTCTTTGACCTCCTCCCAAGTGACGTATCTGTTCTAGACAAAATGGTAAAAGCCCAAAGAATGTGCTCTTCTTTTCTCCCACTTCTCAGCAGAGACCACTGAGAAGAAACCCATTCTGATTAAATTTCCTGCCTCTGTGTCCTGAATGAGCATTTAGGAGATAGTAAGCAGTGGGACCATTCCTTCTAAACTTCTAAACTTTAAATTCCATTTAAATTGAAGGCATTAGGAGAATGGAATGCTTACGTGTGAGCTTTCAGGTCAAATGCACTGTCAAGATTTCACTCTGGTAAACAATCTTTTAGAGAGCTAAGTCATCTTCCCAAACCCGTTTACAACCTCCTGACACATAGGCTTCACAAAAGCCCATGGGCAGCTGTGACTGTTCGTTTCCTTTGAAAAGAGCATAGGCACTGCTGTGCAACCCCCCACCTTCCCACTCCCAGCCAAACAAGACCACCTGGAATTGGGGTGCTGGCGTGCTGCCTATGGCTCCCCTGGAGCTAAAGGAGGGATGGATCAGTGCTGTGGACGTATGGCTCGCAGTGCCCCCTAGTGGTGGTATGTGCTTTGGCGGTCTTTGTTCTCCGAAAAGGAGGTGCCCAATTCCCAGGATTGTACTCCTGGACTGGAGCTCCCCCTGCCATCTGCTCCAGGTCCAGGGATGCTCTGAGGGCAGCGTGGCTTGGGAGATTGAGGCCTGTCCTCACACCATCTAGAGAAAGGCTCTGAAACGAAGGGGTGAAGAGATTTGAAGCCTGAAATTGACCCTCGTTTTTAAGGGATGCTCTAGACTTCCTCTGTCCTGGACAGTGGCCACCTGCTGCATGTGGCTGCAGAGCCCTGGAAATCGAGATGGGCTGTAAGCGCACCATAAGCACCAGATTTCAAAGACTTAGTATTAAAAAGATAATTTGGGGGCACCTGGGTGGCTCAGTCAGTTGAGCATCCAACTTCGGCTCAGATCATGATTTCACGGTTCGTGGGTTCGAGCCTGGCATCGGGCTCTGTGCTGACAGCCAGCTCAGAGCCTGGTGCCTGCTTCTGATTCTGTGTCTCCCTCTCTCTCTGACCCTCCCCTGCTCATGCTGCCTCTCTCTCTCAGAAATAAATAAAACATTTTAAAAATTAAAAAAAAAAGATTATATGAAGTACCTCTAATATTTTTTTACATGTTGAAATGATAATATTTTGGGTTAAATAAAATATATTAAAATAATTTTATTTTTCTTTTCCTGTTCATCGTGGCTGCTATAAAATTTAAAACTATATGTTTAGCCTGCATTGTATTTCCACTGGACATCAATGCTCTACATAGATGGTCTTTGGGCTAAGGTCAGGGGCTCATGTGACTGGGACAGTCTCCACATCTCCCCTTGGGCCAACTTCCATAGCTGTAACTGATCTTTTGGAGAGGTGGAGTGGACGTGGCCTTTGTGATGCGCCCCTTTCCTCCCAAAGAGTCCCCTGAAATCCTCCTTTTCAAAGGCATTACTTTGAGTTCATAAGAATTTTTCTTTTTCTTTTTTTTTTTTTTTAATGTTTTTATTTCTGAGAGAGAGAGAGACAGATCCCACGAACCGTGAGATCATGACCTGAGCCGAAGTCGGAGGCTTAACCGACTGAGCCACCCAGGCACCCCCACAAGAATTTTTCAAAAGGCAGGTGTCTGAGATTAAGAACCTAACACCTAAACTGATCTCTGGGATCTCAGGATGCCTGAGAGAGAAGGGGGCCTCCAGAGGGACCTGAGGGAGATAGAAAGGACAAGTCACATCCAGCCAGCTGCCTCATTCCTCCATTTGGTGGTCAGCAATCTGGCCTTGAGACTGCCTGGCTCTTACAGGTTGAACTCTGCCCTTCCTAAGCATTTACTTCCTCTTTACCCTCCTTGTCCTTAGGAAATAGGCAGCTTGGTGCCTCCCTGGGGGGTTTTGGAAGAGCCATATCAGAAGTTTGGGTTTGTTTTTTCCTTCCCTCTGTCATAACAGTTTTGAGTGGTTTGACTGACCTGGGAAGCCTGGCTCCCTTTCGAAACACACAAGCAAAGCTTATATACTTTGTATAAAGGAACCCTTATAGCATTAAGATGTGGTGTGTATGGAGCAGAATTTGTTCTGCAGCTTGGCATGCTTCAGACATATCTCCAGGAGATAAAGGCCTGTGAGCTGCATGTTAGATATGGGCAGCTTGCCGTCTGTGCAACAAAAGGACAGCACAGTTCCTTAGTGGTCTCAGTGAAGAGCCTCTACAAGAGAGGCTCTTTCCACCTAGGACTTTGTCTTCATGTTTAGCAATGGAAACTCTTTGCCAGGATTTGTTGGATGCCTTCTGTGTGCTTAGCATTAAATGAAAAATTAGTGGGGACTCTTCAAATAGGGATTTAGGGACCAAAATGAGTTTCCCTCTCATTGTAGCATTATTATACTCTTAGACTTGCAATGCCTGGGAGCTTTTGCTATGTTTTGTTTTCTTTTCTAGGCTTTTGTAAATTGGAAAGAGGCTAAACTGACTTGGAGTTTTTTCAAACAGTCTTTCTTGAAGCAGATTTTGACAGAAGGTAAGTGAAAGGTCACTCTGAGCAGTCTGGACACCATAATATATATAAGTGAGGGAATTTCATAGAACTGCTGATTACGTAGACCCAGACCACTTGTTTTCTAAAGGCCCCTGTTCAGATGAACCTCAGAAATAGGAGCTTTTTAAATCAGGAGAGGGACAGTAACATTTACTCACTGATGGTCAGTGCCATTGTATAACTTCTGTGGTGTCCTACAATAATGAGGAACAACTTAATTTGAATCCAAAATCTCATTATCCTGTTCTGACTTTTTAGACACTTCTTTTGAATTTTTTTTTTTTTAATACTGGGTTTTCATCATTTTATTTTCTTAAACAATCAGAGTCACTCTTATAGTTTGGCCAGACTTCCAGCTTCTTAAAGCCTTCCAGTTTAACAGTGACCAAGCAGTGCAGGCAGAGGGCTGGCGCAGAGCTACACATACATCCAGATTTTCTGCGTGTGTGTTTTGGTTTATTTATGCCCAGCTATAGTTCAAAGAATGAGGTTGGAGGCAGCTGGAAGCCGGTAAAGGCAGTGGTTTCTCGGGGCACCTGGGTGGCTTAGTTGGTTAAGCGTCCGACTTTCGCTTAGGTCATGATCTCACGTTCGTGGGTTCGAGCCCCGCATCGGGCTCTGTGCTGACTGCCAGCTCGGAGCCTGGAGCCTGTTTCAGTCTGTGACTCCCTCTCTCTCTGACCCTCCCCTGCTCACGCTGTCTCTCTCTCTCCTAGAAATAATAAATTAAAAAAAAAAAAAAAAAAAAGGCAGTGGTTTCTCTACACATAAATGTCATATGTCTGTACATCCACATGTTTGTGACTGCACCTATTTTTTTTTAAGTCTTTTCAAAAGTTATCTTTTAATTATAAAAATAATATAACTTATAAAAGTTTTAGAAAATAGAAGAAAGTTCCCTATAATTCTAGCATTCTAATATAACTATCATTATTGTTATCTCATTATTTTTCTTTTCCCCCATCTTTATTTTTTTTTAATTATGCTTCCAAAGGGAAGTAGCTCCCCTGAGCCCACTTTCACCATCTGTGAGTTAAGGCATAGAAACAGGAGGGTTCAGAGGGCTCTTGAGCCTTGACAGTACTTATTTCTGGCCTGACTCTGTAACGCTGCCATTACCAAAGTGAAACTCACTCACAAGACTTCTGGGAGACGTAAGGTCAGAAGCCTTTGGAGAGCTGAGTGCAGGTGCCTTACCTCTGTGTTTCTTGGGAGCAGGATGTGCCGTTCACCCACCATCTCCCCAGAACCCTGCTGGGGCTAATTGTGATCAGTGTTCAACAAATCCTTCTTGATAAAGAAAGGTATCTGTAGTGAAATTGTATATTGTGATAGTTCACATAGTTAGAGCAGGAAAATCAGTGGAGGGAGTTTGGAAAGGGAGTTTGCTTTTACGTACTTTCTTTTCCTCCCAGAGTTTTGAGAGCAGTTGAAATGAGTTAAGGAATGGATCCTGTCCGAGCAGCGGCCTGGTTGTCTGGATTGCAGTGGCCGGGCATGTGTTGGTGGCAGCAGGTGTTAGTTAGCCAGGCCTGCACGTGGTGCCGAATGCTTGCTCACTCCACAGTTGGGTCGCCCTGGCCTGAGTGGCACAGGGCTGTTAGGAACCTCTCAGGGCTCCCATCTTCATGGCTGTGAAACAAAGAAGTGGCTGGACAAGGACCACCCCCACAAGGCTCTTTTTATCTAAAAACTACGACTCTAAACAAAGTTGAAATCATTCATTGTAATAGCAAAAATATATATGCTGTTACCTTCTGCCCCCACATTTCCTGAACACTGTGTGCCAGGTGCTGAGAATACACAGATGAATGAGTTACAGGCCACAGCCTCAAGGAGCTCATTCTCTCACCAGAGACACAAACATTTGTGTGGTTAGCTTCGAACCGGGGCTGTGAGAGCTATACTTGGAAACATTAGCTCTTTCGAGTGCCCTTGCACTTCCTGGAGCTCTGCTAGGAAACCAGGGACAGCAAGCTGGGGGAGATGTGGTTCCTGCCCCCAAGGAGCTTATAGAGTTGGGAAGGAGAAACCAGTTGTGCCAGAACACATAGAGGTTCCTGTGGAAAAGCCAGTCTCGGTGGGCAGCATGCTTAGAGCCGAGGCTGAGAGCAGGAGGGGCCCAGCCTGAAGCAGAGCAGCTGGAGGGGCTCAAACCTGGTGGGGTGAAGCAGAGGATGACCATGTGATGGTAGGTGGGGATGAGGTTGGTGAAGGAAAGGCAAAAAGATAGCCTGGGGTCAATTTACAAAAGGCCTCAGAGCCTGGACTTTCTGTAAACATAAAGAGCCATTTAAAGGTGTGAAAGCAGGGAGTCGCCTTAAGATCTGTATTTGCAGAAGCTGGGACTGTTCACAGTGAGAATGGATCAGAGCAGCGCAGAGACATGGATAGGAGCTAGCGATGGCCCATGGTCCTGTGCACCGAGTCTGAGAGGGTGCAGGGAGGACCGAAGGGAGACTTGAGAGAAGGTCCTCACCGCTTCTGGTCTCTGAGTATCACTTTCCTTTTTGAGCAAGTTGCTAGGAGGTGAGAACTTGCCCTTTACGGCTGTGGGCACTGCTCAGAGCTCCGTCCATCCACAGTGGGCCACGCAAGGAGGGCACTTGGTGCTGTGCACATAATTATGGACCTTTCATTTCACAGAGCATATACTTCAAATTTGGAACATTTTTATTGTTAACATTTTAGTAATCCTACCCTTCCACCTTTTTTAAAGTTATTAGACTGGTTTTATTGATTTTGTTTTTGTTTTTAATTTGACTGGTTTGGAGATTTGCTGTCAATAAATCCCCCATCATTTGCCCAGTTGTTACTGTCTTGAGATTATGGGTGGATCTTATTTGAAATCAACATTAGGACCAGGTCTTTAACTGACTGTATAATTTCTCTCCTTTGAGGGTATTTGCCAGCTGGAAAGTTAATAGTCGATAAGAGAAAAGGAAACAAGAAAGTAACGTGCTCTTGCAATGCTAATTATTTTGCTTTTCTGTTTGTAGGCGAGCGATATGTAATGACCTTTTTGAACGTGTTAAATTTTGGCGATCAGGGTAAGATGAAATTCTGTCATGAACACTGTTAATAGATAATTTGTAAGTTTTTTTCTGAAGTTTTAATACATTTAATGAAAAATAAACCCAATGATTATAAAAGACGAAGATTGTAAAAAAAAAAAAAAAAAATGATTCCTAAAGATTGAAAGTTGTTGGTCTCTGTAAATACATGCAGTGTACTGACTGCTGCCTCTCGTGTGACTCGGGTGGCAGGTCCTCTGTTGAGACGCCCTGGTTCCCGCAGAGCTCTGGTGCTGTTCGGGGTTCGGGGGTGCGGAGAGCAAAGGGAGCTTGCCGTCACAATCACAGATCTGCCCTGTGATCGTGTGGCTGATAGGTCTCAACATTTTCTTCATATTTATTTTTGACTATAATCCTGAAGTAGTGGGAAGAAAAATTTTTATTTTTTTTATTTTTTATTTTTTTTAAATATTTTTATTTATTTCTAGGAGAGAGAGAGAGAGACAGTGTGAGCAGGGGAGGGTCAGAGAGAGAGGGAGACACAGATTTTGAATTAGGCTTCAGGCTCTGAGCTGGCAGTCAGCACAGAGCCTGACGCGGGGCTTGAACCCACGAACCGCGAGATCATGACCCAAGCGAAAGTCGGATGCTTAACCGACTAAGCCACCCAGGCGCCCCAAGGGAAGAAAAATTTTTAAAAATCAACTTGGCATTAATGATTGTTATAAAAAAGTGCCGGAGCTGGAAATATCCTGTCTTGACCGTGTCAGTGTCCGTGTCCCTGCTGTGGTGCCGTGCCCTGCTCTCACAAAATGTTACTCTTCGGGAAACTGGGTAATGGAGCTGTTATTTCTTAAAACTACATGTGGATCTATTATTACCTCAAAAAGTTCAATTAAATTAGAAAAAAAATGTTAATGGTGCCTTGAAAATTCAAATCGGAAAACCAGTAAGATTGTTGTTTCTTCTTTTTTGTCTTGTAGGTGTGTACGATATAGTGAATAATCTCGGCTCCCTTGTGGCAAGATTAATTTTCCAGCCGATAGAGGAGAGTTTTTACATATTTTTCGCCAAGGTGCTGGAGAGAGGAAAGGATGCCACCCTTCAGAAGCAGGTAGTCTTGGTTCTTAGGTCATTGTCTCTCCCGTGAATTCTCCAATAGCAGGATAAACAGACTGAAATGTGGAGCAGCCAGTTTCCCTTCTGTTTGATCTGAAATTTCCTTCTAGATTTCATTTTTCCATCACCTTCTGAATGATGGCAGGACTCTGAGCTCACTTCTTTTGAAGTCTCCTCTCTTTGCCCTGCCTGGCCCCTCCCTTCTCATTCTTAGTCCTGTGTAAGCTCACTCTTGATCCACCCTCTCAGAACTCTTGCAGCATCCCCAGTGCAGTGCATACCCCTCCCCCGGTCTAGGCTTAGCTGGAAGAATTAAGGTTGCCTCCTCCATCCTCACATCCTCAAGAACTACAGGTGAGCTGAAGGATGCAGAGTCTGGGGCAAGGCTCCCATAGGGCGTGGGGAGGAGAGGATGTGGTCATTTGGTGTCACTCACCACACCAGTTGTTGAAGCTTCTTAAGGACCGTGAAGTGCCCAGAGCTACACTCTTACCATGAGCATATACATGTTCCTAGTGATAAATAACAGAAGAGATTTTAATCCAGGCGTATTTGGTTGTCGCAACTTCCCTTTTTCTAAAACCATCGAAAATGTCTGACTTATCTTAGAATTGAAAGGAAGCTAAGTCACGCTCTTACGTGTCTTAGAAGACATTTGCAAGATGCAGTCTATGCACGATATCTCAAATAAACTATTCTGGTTCTCAGTAAATTTAAGAATATTTTCCTAAGCATACTTTGACAGGAACATTAGGATTTGGAGACATTTGTCGGGAGAAGCATACGGACAAAGCTAGCCTGCTAGCAATGTAAAAACTTGCTGTCCATTTAAAAATAAATATCAGAGAGGAAAGTGAATGTTCCCTAAGCAATCTTTGACATAACTTACCCTGACTGAGTTAAAAAACCCAGCCTCCCCTGAACTACCTAAGGAGGCACAGATTGTCTTTTTTTCCTTCATTTCCTTCGTGCTAATTGACATGGAAACAGCACCGGCTGCAGAAAAATAGCGACGCCTCTCAGCAGGTAAACGAGTGATCTGTAAGACAGCGAAGAGAGGAGGCCAGATGTGAAGTTGTTCTTGAGCTCATGATTTCCCTCTCCCTTCCCTCTCCCCGTGACCCAGGAGGACATGGCTGTGGCCGCCACGGTGTTGGAGTCACTGCTCAAGCTGGCCCTGCTGGCCGGCCTGACCATCACCATCTTCGGCTTTGCCTATTCTCAGCTGGCTTTGGATCTCTATGGAGGGGTCATGCTTAGCTCTGGATCAGGTATGCGCAAGAGTTTTGCCAGATTCATTCTAATTTCTGAGCAGAAATAGAAGAGTCTTAAGAAATTCAAAAACTTGCACACATACAGGTTGATACCTGTCTGTATAGGAGATGTTGTCAGCGGCTGGAGCTCTGAGGCCGTTCCCCTCACACAAGGTCAGAAACAGCTGGGTACCGTTAGGGGGCTTTGGCACCAGATCAGTCAGTCCCCCAACTTCACTTAGAGAAGCCATTATGAATCCTTGGCTTTCCTCCCAGGCTTAAGATGTGTTTTGCTGGGCGCTTCCCTGTGCACCCTCTCGGATGAGGGAGGAAGGCAGAAGCAGGCTCTAATGAGTCTCCACTTGATACTAACCACATCTGAAGGTAGTAAATGCCACATAAATCTCATGGCCTGATGCATGAGAGCCTTGGAAGGATAACTCAGAGCCATTTGCAGAGAATAAAATTGATCTCGGCAAGTAAAATGGTATATTTAATCCAGTGACTCTTGGTTTTTGAAGGACAAAATTATCGAACGTGTCTAACTTTGAAACACCTAGTGTCCAGGCCACAGCACTTGCTAGGCCCTGGGGGACTTAGCAATTTCAAAATGTGCTGGGCCACAGGCTGGCAGCCCACTTGCAGTGTTTCATCCTGGGTTCAGCAAAGAGGTTTCAGTTCCTCAGGTCACTCGACAAGAACTGTGGGGTCTTCTCTCTGCTACCCCATCTCAGTGTAAAGTGCTTTGTCAGATGCTGTTTTACAAGTTCACCGGCATGTTTTGGTCTCCACTACAATGGGCCCAAACTTTAGGTATTAGGGGAGGAGGGGCCACGTTTCTACACGAGAGCAAAGGTCATTAAGTTTGGAGAAACACCTGCTGTGAACCCAGTGAGGTGGTTTGCAGCTCCCTGGGCTTGTGCTGTGAGATGTGGGTTTCAGTCGCACAGGCAGGGAGGCCTCATTAGGAAGCCGTTAATATAAGTCGGTGTGCAGAGATGAGGGGCTCGACTATTTCACAGTAGCAGGGCCTCCTTAAAAAAGGTAATCACCTGGGGTGCCTGGGTAGCTCAGTCAGTTAAGCATCCAACTTCGGCTCAGGTCATGATCTCATGGTTCATGGGTTCGAGCCCCGCATCAGGCTCTGTGCTGACAGCTAGCTCAGAGCCTGGAGCTGTTTCAGATTCTGTATCTCCCTCTTTCTCTGACCCTCCCCTGCTCACACTGTCTCTATCCATTTCTCATTAAAAAAAAAAAAGTAATCACCAAGGAACAGCTTTTATTGTAATGAAATCGCAGGACATTTTCATGAGGAGAAGGCTGTCCCATCAATACAGTGTTCACCTGGTGGAGTAATTAGTCATAGAAGATACAGGAAGAGTCTGCTGTGATTGTGTAGCCCTTTGGCTCAAGTGAGAGGCTGGTGACAGTTTCCAGCATTGATAATAGATTTATCAGTTAAAAGGGTCAGTGTTAGTTGATTTCTGATGTAATAAATTCTGTTTCTAGTGGCTTATGTCAAAGTCATTAATAATTTTAGATTCAACATGATGAACACTGAGTAATATGTAGAATTGTTGAATCACTGTATTGTACACCTGAAACAAATACAACACTGTTAAAAAATTATAATTTTAGATTAAAAAAGATGTTCCTTTGGTATCTTCAGAAATAGGAGAGTCTTAAGAATTGTCTGGATTCTCAGTCTCTGAAAACAGTGTGCTGTTTGGTGAATCAGGACTGTTGTCATCTCCTGCCTGGCCCAGGGTTCCATCAGTGCCACTGTCCCAACAAGGTCTCTTAGCATTTTTCTCCTCGTGGTAGCTGTCTCTCACATTGACCAAACTTCCAGCGCTCTCTAACACCAATGGTGGCTTCTGGTAGTACGTCCCCAACCTTGGCCCCTGCTGGCTTTCCTTCTCTCATCTCCATGCCACCCTCATCTCCTTGCTCTGCTCCTGACTCTTTGGACTAGTGCTGTGGATCTGAATGCCTTTCCTGTGCCAGAAAACATGAGCACTGTTTTTCTTTGAGTGGCTAAGTTATTGAGGCCTAATTTACATAAAGTAAAATTCTGTACTCTTAAAGTACAATTTGATGAGTTTTGACAAATACATACACCTATATAACCAACATCTTGGTTGAGATATACAACGGTTCCATTACCCCAGAAAGTTCTCTCAGTATCCTTTCCAGTCATCTGCCTCCCTCAGAGGCAACCACTGTTCTGATTTCTATCACTGTAGATTAGTGCTTTTTAAAAAATGTTTATTTTTGAAAGAGAGAGAGAGGAGGGGAGGGGCAGAGAGAGAGGGAGACAGAGGATCTGAAGCAGGCTCTTGCTGTCAGTGCAGAGCCCAATACGGGACTTGAACCCACAAACTGTGAGATCATGCAATCAGCTGTGCCACCCAGGCGCCATAGTATTGCTTTTAAAAGGGACTTCATACAAATGAAATCACCTAGGGACGCCTGGGTGGCTCAGTTGGTTAAACACCCAACTTTAGCTCAGGTCGTGATCTCACAGTTCATGAGTTTGAGCCCCACATTGGGCTCTCTGCTGTCAGCACGAAGCCCACTTTGAATCCTCCGTCCCCCTCTCTTTCTGCCCCCCTACTCATTGTCTCTCTCTCTCAAAAATAAACATTTAAAAATAAATAGGAATTTTAAAAAAGTAAATGAAATCATAAAGCATGGACACTTCTTTCCCTCAATATACAGTTTTGGGGATTCATCCATGTTTTTACATGAATCAGTAGTTTTTTTCTCTTTGATTGCTTCTCTGAGAAGATTCCTTTATATGGATGGCCCACAGTTTATTCTTTGTCTTGTTGATGGTCAGTTTGGGCTATTACGAGTAAAACTGCTATGGATGTTTTTGTACAAGGGGTTTTGTGAACACGTACATTTATTTCTGTTGGATAGATATTTATGAGTGGAATTGCTGGGTCATAGGTTGTTCTATTAGAAGTTGCTTGGCTGCGGGGCGCCTGGGTGGCTCAGTCAGTTGAGCATCTGATTTCAGCTCAGGTCATGATCTCACGGCTGGTGGGTTCAAGTCTCATGTTGCTCTGTGCTGACAGCTCAGAGCCTGGAGCCTGCTTCGGATTCTGTGTCTCCCTCTCTCTCTACCTCTCCCCTGCTCATGCACATGTGTGTGCGCACATGTGCGCTTCCTCTCTCTAAAAAAAAAAAAAAAAATTAAAAAAAAAAAAAGTTGCTTGGCTGCCTCTTGGCAATGGCCCTCCTAAAAGAGGGGATCAATTCCATTTTTAAGGCTCCCAGTCTTTTGTCAGCAGATTTTTCCAAAGCGTGTTAGTTAGCTATAGAACATCACTATGTTTTAGAAGAAAATAACATGATAGTAACTCCAATTTGCCCTGCAGATTTGTGGAGGTGTTCTGTCTCTCGTTTTCTGCCGCTCCCGAGCCCTGGGCTTCTCCCCAATGTCTTTTGTTCAGGACCTGTTCAGCCGAGGTTCTCGTGCATGCAGGGCCACTAGTGGCCTTGAGTGCTCAAACCAGCAGACCTCTGTGCAGATTTACAAAGTGAACTGCTTCCTGGCCAGATGAGAATGTAGTTGTTAAGAGAGATTTGTAGGCTTAATCTTAATTGCTCTTTCATTTTGAGCTGTTTATTTTAAGCAGTGCCATGGAATACTGGGAGGCCTTCCAGATAGTCAAGGCCATAGGCTCGAGCACGTGTCCGCCGTCGACGGTACCGGCAGGGCTCCTGAGCCAGTTCTGGGACATGTGGGCCTTCCGTATGGGCTCTGGAGTCTCGCTGGGCTGTTTCCCCATAGGTCCTGTTTTGCTGCGTTCCTACTGTGTCTACGTCCTCCTGCTTGCCGTCAACGGAGTGACCGAGTGCTTCACGTTTGCTGCCATGAGCAAAGAGGAGGTCGACAGGTAGGTAACCTGAAAGACCCACCTCTAATCACGGCCTTCGGGCAAGTTGCAGTGACTTGCACTTCCTGCAGAGCAGAGCCCGCACAGCACTTCCTGCAGAGGTAGCGCCTAGCACTAGCGTGCCGCCGTGCCCGGGCTCTCCCGTGGCTGCGCACGCACCATCCGGCTAGTCCCCCCACGCACGGCCGGGGGCAGCAACCGCCCTTCGCCTCCCTTTGGAGGAGGAAGAAATCTGGGCCCACAGGGCAGTGTTGGTCCAGGTTTGCAGAGACAGGCGCAGGACCAGCTCTGCTCCCCCACCGCCTTGCCCAGCAGCCCCGTGTGTTACCTTGGAAGCTTCTTCAGGGTGCAGAGTCCTCCACCTGAGACTGATTTGTAGGCCTTGGAGAAACTCAGGGGTGTGTGACCTCTTTCCTCAGAGAAAGGCCCAAGTGCACATACCCATTTGCCAGCTTTTTCCCATCCATTGACCCCAGATCAGGACCTCTGCTCCGGAGCTTCACACTCGTTCTTAACACTGATCCTCAGTCAGGATGCCCCGTGGAGCTTGTTAGATGTGCAGATTCCTGTCCGCTCTTCTTCCTCCACTCACTCCTGGCACACTTACAAAACCAGCGGCCTCCCGGCATATGTTTTTTTAAAAGCTCCTCAGTGATTCTGACACGAACTCCTAGTTTAGAGCTCCCGACCCTCACGCAGCATCATTCATCTCCTGTGTCCCAGATGCCAGAAGCAGCATAGCAGAATCCAAAGGCCTCACTACAGGACCAGGTTGAGAAGGGTAAAACTGATAGGGGAAAAGGGAAAGATGGCAGAGGGGTGGGTGCAGGTAATGAGGCAAGTGGTCCTGGTGATTCCCTTGTCCCCTGAGGCCTGGGTCCCTTGTGGGAGGTCTTGTACTGCCTCTCCAAGGCCTTGAGCACCATCAGAAGCCCTGAGGCCCAGTGGTGGAGGTGGGACAAGAAAACACAGCTGAGACTCCGGGAACCGGCCTCTAGTTCACAGCAGCCTCTCTACGCTGCAGGATGCAGAGTCCTCTCTGTGCTTCCAGCCTGGGGCTGTCTCACAGGGAAGCTTGGCGACCTTGCCATCCTGCAGTTGAGAACTGGAGCCCAGGGCGGCATCTTAGCCCGGCCCCCCCAGAGTCCCCTAGGAATTCCAGCCCCGCCTAGATCAACTGAATTAGCACATAAGAGGCTGGGGCCCGGGAGTCTTTCATCACATAGCTCTGGGAGATTTCTGATGGATGGCTACTGCCTTAGGAACCACTGGCCCAGGCCAGCTTCTTAGTAAACACTACAGTGAGCACTGTGACCCTCTACATATTAGGTAGACATGACTGAGTGAAGCCTTCACAAAACAGTAAATACCCCAGTTATGTGCAGGACCCACTGATAGTTCTTAATTCTGTTAGATTTCATTTTTCAAACTGCCATGTCATGACCCACTAAACTGATTTCCCAGCCTACTTTTAAGTACAACCTGCAGTTTTCAAATACTGGTCCCGATAGGGTTTTTACTTCAGATAGTTTAATGTGTAGTGATAAAACTACTCAGAGTCCATCCTCCTCACCCTCTGTTTCCCCATGGATGAAAAAGTCTATTTAAGTTTAATTTTGAAATATTGTGTTTTTATTTAAAAGGTGCTTCAAACGTGAAATAATTTTTAGATATAATGTAAAATCTATTAAATGAGGCACTGGACTGCAGTGGAAAGAGCTCTGGACTAGGAATCTATCTCTTTGGAAGGAATTTTGTTAGAATAATTTCAGCATTAGTGTTGAGGGGGAGAGTCAGCACTAAACCTGCTTAAGATGTTAAAATGTATCTTACAATCAAATCCTGAGGGAATATAGACAGTGGCTGGCTGCTTTCTTTCCTCTTACATTGCAATGAACCAAAAGAAACAGCTTTCTAAGTTCGTTGTGATGGGATTTTGATGATATATAAACATCTGGAAAATTATTTTCATGGTATTAGTAGTCAGCATAGAGACAAGACAGAACCAGAGCGCCTTCGAATGCAGTTCTCATCTGTGGCAGCGCACTTCCCCTAAGAGTGAAGTGTGTTCTTCCTGCGGGGATTAAACCCCGCAGCTGGTTCTGCCCGGGCCATGGCCCAGCCCCCAGCCCTTGCGTGAGCGCATGGCCCCCGGCCTCATCACAGACTGTGGCTTTGTTATCTCTGTGAACTTAACAAGACGCAGAACTCCAGTAAGGATCTTATAGTGGGATGGGGCAGCTCAGTTCAATGTTATGTTTGATTTACATTGAGCGTTTTAGATTCTGAATTGGAAAAAAAAAATCCTGTATTGATAAAGTCCTGGGCTTTTACTTAAAACTTTAATCCCTGTTTTTCTAAATTAAAATAGGGCATTTGATGTTGGACCTGGAATATTAGAACATCCTTTGAATTCCAAGTTGCTTTTTTGTTAATAACCTCATAATGTATATGAACTCTGATTAATAGCTTTTTCATCTGCCCTGTTGAAGAATTTTTGTTCTGTTTTGTTAAGGAGCTCTCCATTTTTTTTCATTTGGCAAATGCTGCTTGAGCATTTACTCTCTTAATAGGCACCGTGTTAAGCTCTGGGAATACAGCAATGAAGAGACAGATGAGATCTCTGCTCTCCTGAAGCTGACAGTGGGGGAGGCAGACAGCAGACACGCAAATAAATAAGGAAATCCCATGCAGCTCAGATAACTACAACAGGGTTGTGCAGAGAGAGTGGGGCTCTTTTGGACAGGAGGCCCCCCTGAGGAGGCGGCATTTAGCCTGAGGCTGGGGGGCCAAGCAGAGTCTGCCGTACAAAGATGGGGCAGAGCCTGTCAGGCACAGGGAATAGGGACACAAAGGCCCAAGACTGACGGCTCCTTTGTCTGATTTCTTGGCCCTTGAATGTCCAGCATAGAGCTGGACTCCATAATTGTTGAGTAAAGGATGAGTGCCGTCTTCTCCTGTTGGCTCACGAGAGGGCCTGGTGCCGTCCTTTTCACGGCTGTGGAGGCCACGTTGATGGCTGTGCCTTGATGTGCTCAACCAGTGCCCACGGGGGGACACTGCAGCTGCTGCCACAGTCCACATTCTTGACCATCTCTCTCTTTATAAGCATGATTTTAAGCCTACTATTTTCTTGGGCCCATGAAGAAAATCAGCATTCACAAAGAATTTACTTCATGTTAACCAAACCTTATAGAATAGTCATTATTGTCACTAATTTTGAATTGATTTAAAAAGCAGTATTTTAACTGCATCTTTAAATTTTCCTTTTTTTCCTGAAGTGGATTATGCCTTTAAGGCTCTAGACTTGTGGGTTCTGGAAATTTCGACAGCTGCAGAGCCGTCTTCTGATGTTGAAAAACAGTGGACCCTTATCATTAGCTTTTCCCAGTGGCCGCACCAAAGAAGCCACACTGTTGAATTCATTCCTGCTTGGAGTAGCTACTGGTTTCATTCATTATTGACATTTTACTTGGAGTTGGGTGAGGATGACTTTGAAAGTTTTGGAATCTCTTGCCTCAACTCCGAGGATTCGTGTAGACTTGTCTGAGATATCTTCTGGGAGAAAAAAAAAAAAAAAAAGATTATATAGATCTACCTCTTTTTGGAAAAGATGTCATGTAACTGGTCTATGACGGTCCCCACTTTCAGTGGCTTGTTATGAAGTTGGCCATTCTGATCATTGATCAGTAGTTACTGAAAAGTACACCTCCCCTCCCCTGTTGGAGGAGGAGGTGTGTGTGTGTGTGTGTGTGTGTGTGTGTGTGTGTGTGTAGTATTCTTGTCACCTCTTCTGATAAAGTATATCTCCATAGCCCCTTGGGCTTGGTAAGCCTGAGAACCAGTACATGGGCATTCAGCAGATATAGTGGCTTTCTTACCGCGCCTTGTGTGCTGAACCTGAGTGGCCTGTGAGGTGTCCTAACCCAGTAGACCTAGCTGTAGGCCTAGTGGATTGGTTCCCTCAACAACTATGTACCTAGAATGCCTGCTGCTCGCTAGGCAGAAACCAGATGCTGGAGAGGTTTGTTGATGACTGTACAAGCCTTTTGGAAGACTACAGCAGCTCTTATCTTTGCTAAGACTCAGTGGCCCTAGCTGAGACCTCAAGGTAACTAAGCTTCATGCTGCTTGAAGCCAGAGAAGTGGAAGGGCAGCGTAGTCCATCCAGTCAGGAATCCAGAGAGCTCTGGCGACATGAAGAGCAGAGGGAAGGATGAGAACACTGCAGTGATTCAGGCCTTGCTCCCTGTGTGTTTGTCATTTTGGAGGCTGATCACAGGTCCCTTGTGGGTAAGGTCCCCTGGCTAAGGTCACAGGGCTTCTGCATTTCCCAAGGGAAGTGGTATTCGTTTCCCTAAGTGTAGGGCCCAGAGTCAGGTCACTCCTTAAGCAAATTACTCAGCCTCTTTGTGTCTGGTTTCCTTGTCCATAGAATGCATCGAAGCCTCAGAGCAAGGGCCACGTGTGTTCACTCACCAGCATATCCCCGCACCCCTCACAGTGTCTGCCACAGAGCTTGCGTTCATATATCATTACTACCCTGTCATATTCTTTGTGCCTCACATTGAAGACTTGGGCTGAACAGGATTTTTACGTGTTTTGATCACGACGTGTCACTTAAGCTAATCACTTGTCCTTAAAAACCATAAATATCTTAAATTGTTCATTTTCTTACTCTTCTATTCAGTGAGTGAGGGGGGTGGGACCGTGACATTTCCATGCTATCCATATAGCGTTCACAGTTACAAAAACCAGCTGGGTCATGGCAACTCGGAGGCACTTTATGTGACCTCATGTTCACAGCCACTTGTTTTGGAGCCGTCTTGTCTTGGGACAACATACCCACTGCCCCGCTTTGCTTGTCTCCCTCTCCGCAGGTACAGTTTCACAATGCTGGCCCTGTCCTCTTCATTCCTGATGTTAGCCTACCTCCTGACCCAGTGGTGTGGCAGTGTGGGTTTCATCTTGGCCAACTGCTTTAACATGGGCATTCGGATCACACAGAGCCTTTGCTTCATCTACCGCTACTACCGGAAGAGCCCTCACAGGCCCCTGGCAGGCCTGCACCTGTCACCAGCCCTCCTCGGAGCATTCGCCCTCAGTGGTGGGATTACTGCTGTTTCTGAGGTGAGAGTCCCGGCAGCCTTCACGCTACATGATTTTGCAGGCTGCCCGCTGTCCCTTGCTCTAGGCTCCCCCTTCCTGCTCTTCCTGAACCAGCTGGGCAAGTGCAGTACAACCTTGGTTTGCGAGCATAATTCATTCCAGAAACATCCTTGTAATCCAAAGCACTTATATTAAAGCAAATTTCAAGAACCATTAGCTCAGTTGTGATCATGTGACATTCGTTGTCACATACTAGTCGTTTTGTAAGTCATAGCTTGTTTATCAAGTTAACATGCATTAGAAATGTTTGCTCGTCTTGCGAACACTCGCCGAACAAATTACAATCCAGGGTTCTACTGTATTTGCCACCCCGTCCCCTAAGCCTCGGGGATAGCATCTTATGATACATGTGGCCAACCAGTGTTACCAGTGAGAACAGAGAAGCCCCCCTCGGCATGCGGTTGTTACCCCTTTTACCTGACCTGAAGCTGGAATAGTAGGGCCTCCGCTTTCCCTGGCCGACCCCAGAGGAAGGTCGTGTGGATGGCGGGCCAGGCGATGACCATGGTTTCTTTCCACAGGTGTGGCTCTGCTGTGAGCAGGGCTGGCTGGCCAGGCTGGCGCACGTTGCCGTGGGGGCCCTTTGCTTGGGAATGACTGTTGGGACAGCGCTCCTCACAGAGACCAAGCTGATCCACTTTGTTAGGACTCAGTTAGGTGTGTCCAGACTGGCTCACAAAACCTCGTGACTTCAGAGGCATGGACACCTGTGGCACCCAGACCAGCCGGGGTTTTGTGGGTGCAGAAGGGCCCTATCAAAGGTCTGCAGTGGAGTAGGACCCACCCAGGCAGGTGACACGTCAGAGAGCCGCCGGACTGAACGCCATCCGTTCGAAGCCTCCCACGGGAAGGAGCTCCGGTTCTAAGGGAAGACCAAAAAGCTCTTTTAAAATCGATACATTGTTTTTGTCACCAGTTTGTTCTAATCAGTATTTTTTCTTTTGATTAATGTATTCCTTTCCGGTGTGATTGACCTAAGGCGTTACACACACCAACAAACTATCTCCTGGATATTACAGTTAACAACCTGGCCCGGAAACAGATGTAGCCACTTTACCCTTCACGGGAACCTGGAACTTACTGCGTAAAAGCAGGAAGGAGACCTGATGTTATGCACTGAGTTGGAACAGAGGTGGCCCTGGAGTTGTGGCTTTCTCCATGTCAGCACTGTGGTCTGGGTTTTTAGGGAGGGAAAACGCGTACCTCAGTGAGAAGTCCAAGAAATGAAAACGCAGGCTACACTTCCCAGAGTTAGCTAGGGGGAGCCTTGTACCTCGTCTTAGCTGCTGAGTACCCCGGACCATGTGCTTTCCCACCTCGACGTAGGCTGGCTCGAGACCACGGCCTGGCCACCTGCAGGGAAGCCCTGAAGGAAGCGGGGAGCCAGCATGAGCTCCTGAAGGGAGCATTGCGCTCGTGGAGACCGCACAGGCGGCAGCTGAAGCGGAAGTGAGGTATTTTTTCCCTCAGAACAAAACAGGCACTTTCTGTGTGGCAAGCCCCTTCCCCCGACGCATTGCTGGCAGCACTGCTCAGTAACCCTGAGTGCCAGCTTCAGGACGAGAGTGGCAGGCCTGGGGGTCTTGTCCTCCAGACCACGGGGTGAGCCCTGGCGTGAGCCCCACGTCCCACACCCTGCAGCCAGCAGGCAACATCGTCAAGCCTTGTTCTTAGGTGGCAACGCATTTTTCTTCTTTCCTTGACGTATTAATTCCTTGTGGGTATCATTGACACAAACTGTATCCTGGGTGGTAATAGTGATCATCTGGCTCTGATGTCCCACACTTTCCGTTTATACCTAGAGAGCAGGGCAACTTGCGACAGGTGGTGGTTTGCCTAAAATGCACCCCTTTGATGCACACCCAGGGGCTGAGGATCAAGACCCACAGCATGTGGAGACTAGTGCCAAGTCACTTAGACTCAAAGGGAGAATGCTTTGCACTAATTGGAAAAGTAGCTACATGCAGGGTGCCATTGCCCAGAGGCTCTCCAAAACCGTGGCCTTGGTTGTGCTCTTGTAGGGCACGGTCAGGCTAGCTTAGAGCTGACTGTCCCATGGGGTAGGGGTTGGCACGCACTGAAGCAGTCCCCCCTCCCTCCATGGACTTACTTTTGTCTCGAGTGCACAGAAATGGACCTTCAGATCTTACAAGTTCCCCCGCTGCCCTTGGCCACCACTCCCTCCCCTGGAACCCTGTTGCCCACCCCGTGCCCACTTGACCCCACGCTCCTAACATGGCCCTTCAACTACCTGCCTCAGAGCCGCCTGGTTGCACTTTCGAAATGCAGCTTCCCAGGGCCCACTCCAGGCCTGTGGAACCACCATCTCTGGGGGCAGGGCACTGGGATCAGCTTTTTTGCAAACCAAGGTTGGCACACCCCGTCGTCCTCACCCGCATCAGGGCTCGGGACCGGTTGTACCCAGGTTCACGGTGTCCATTCTCTGCTCCAGGAAGAGCCACTGTTGCCACAGCAACATTGCCGACTCTGCAGCTCTCGGGAGCAGGCCCGCCAGGTTTCCGCTGTGCTCTCAGGCATGAGGCCGTGCCCGGCAGCCGGCGCTCTGGTCTCTCACCCCTCATCCCAGCACGTGGCCCCTGCTGTCAGGGCCAGCTCCTCTGGTTTTTTTTTAAGTTTATTTATTTTGAGGGAAGACAGAGACAGCACAAGTGGGGGAGGAGAGAGCCCAAGCAGGCTCTGCACTGTCGGCACGGAACCTGACATGGGGCTCGAACTAACAAAACTGTGAGATCGTGACCTGTGATGAAACCAAGACGCTTAACTGGCTGAGCCACCGAGGTCCCCTGGGGCCGGCTACTCTCGAAAAACTGATGCCTCCTGGTCCCTGCCTCTCCTCTGCACCACCCTGTCACAAAGGGGGGCCTTGGAGCAGGGCTCTGATGCCGTTAGAGCAGGCAGCGAGCAGGGACTGATTAAGACACGACTGCATTAGTCACATTGGACATGACAGCTGAGCAGCATGGTTCTGGTTCGTGTCTGGGAGACCCTGACACCCTTTTCAATTATGTGGAAGTAATAGTGTGTGGCTTCCACACGGCCGTGCCTGGCGAGGGAAGAGCGGTCTGGAAGGAAAGCGTGACTCACTGTGGGCTGCGCTGGTTTGTTCCCAGCTCACCTGCTCACTTTGCACTTGCTTTGGTAAATCACAAAAGGTGACGCAAGGGCAGAATGGCATACAGGGCGCCAGAGGGCCTCTCCCGGGTGGCCTCTTCGTTTCCAGCCTCGTCCCAGGAGAACTATGACACGACTCCGGGGACGCGTGTGTGAACCCCCCGGCCGCCCCAGCCTCTGAGCACTCTCGCCCAGCCCTATCAGCCTGGCATGGCCATGCAGGGGCAACCATGAAAACAGGAAGAGCGAGACTGTAGCCGTGACAGGAATGGGAAGGTTTTCCTCCACGCGTAATCCCAGCCAAACTAGGGAATGTTGCTGAAACCGCTTTCTGTCTCCCCTCTGGCATTAACACAACAGTGTTAGGAACAAACCAGATGAACAGCGCGTTTTTTATGTTCCTGAACTACAGCTCAATTCTTTCTTCCTCCTGTAGCTCATGAGATCCCTGAGTGGCATCTCTCCAATGACAAGAGAATGTTCTGGCAGGTGTGCAGATGTCAGGCTGTGGGGGGTCAATAGAAGGGACAGAGCTCCTTGCCATTTTTCCTTTTGTACCCGTGAGTGAAATCATGTGGCACTCTGGCTCCCCGGCAGGGCTGATGGCATGATGCCCAGGCACGCTGGCGACTTGTCCTCGCCTCCTCAGCACTCCTGCAGCAAACCTGCAAACACAAGGCTGAGAGCCAGGCTCTGGGCGGCGTCTCTTCCATCCTCAGGGTCACTGAGGAAACCCACTTGCGTCCATGTCTGCCTTCGGAAGCACACCAGCAGGGTTTTGTTTTCCAAATGGCATTTGGTGATGGACACATGCTGTCGGTTATATGCCAGCCTGGCTGCCCTTTCCTAACTCACTGGGTGACCTTCAACAAGTCTCCTTCACTCTGCCAATTAGGGAGCACTGAGCACGTGCCGGGTACTGGGTGACCACACACTTGGTATGTGTTAGCGGTTAGACCTTTAAGCTGCCCCATCAGTTGTCTGCGTGTTACAGGTGAGGAAGCTGAGGCACAGAGAAGTGGCCTGATTTGCCCTGGGCCACCTCGCTAGGAAGAAGGTGACAAGGGGCGCCTGGGTGGCTCAGTTGGTTAAGCGTCCTATTTCGGCTCAGGTCATGATCTCACAGTGTGTGACTTCAAGCCCCGCGTCAGACTCTGTGCTGACAGCTCAGAGCCTGGAGCCTGCTTCGGATTCTGTCTCTCTCTCTCTCTCTCTCCCTCCCTCTCTCTCTCTGCCCCTCCCCCATTCGCACTCTGTCTCTGTCTCAAAGATAAATAAACATTAAAAAAAAATAGAAGGTGGCAGAACTGGGCCCTGCGAGCCTGCTTCATGAGCCCTGCCCTGGACTCCGGCCCCACCTCCCTGATGTGTGGGCCTGAGCGGGTGCCTGCACTGACCTATTCCTGCTCGTGTACCAGTGGGGCCAGCACTACTTTTATTCGTTTTGAAATTTGGGGTTAGCTTAAGAGTTTGCTTGACAGAAAAGTTCTTTTTGTTAAAAAAAAAAAAAAAAAAGGAAACCCTGAAATCCACAGGGTTTGATGTTTGAGAGCTCTGACCTTCTAGGGCTCATTTTCCCCTGCAACTCCTCCCGGGCCTCAGCCTTCCTTTCATCTTGAAGAATGTAAGGTCGTTGCTTTGCACAGCCATTAGCATTGGCTTGAATAAGAAATATCTGGGAGAAATAAATCTGGCCAAAAAATGACACTGCATTACAAAGAAAAAGCTCTCTGAAGCCCACGGCCCCCTGTCTATGGGCGTCCTTAACCCCGGGTGACGCCACCAAGGAGTGGGAGGGCAGCTGACTTTGGGACTCCCAGGCCACTTCCTCACCAGGAGATCTTGCTCTCTGTCATCCTTCACTAGCCACCCCACAGGGCCCGGCGGGGGGGGGGGCGGCGGGGGGCCGGGCATGAAAGAACAGAGGCAGCTCGGAGAGCTGGAGAGCCGTGGGAAACGAAATGGCCCACAGCAAGGCTTCCTAAACACCGCGTGGTCCGGCCTTTCTCTTCTGCGCTCCATCCCCTGGCCAGGTTCGCTCTCTGGACACCCCACCCGCTGGCGTGCCCACCTAGGCTCCACTCTCCCACTCCGTGGACCCAACTCAAAGGCCTGTTTCTGGCCTAGCTAGCAGAGGAGAGAGAAGCACAGGCGTTACACCCTTGAAGTTCACTGCTTTTCCTTGCCTCTGTGGCCCACAAAAGGCATTGACCCAGAATGCACGGTATTATAAACACAGCCCGCATCCCTTTCCTCGGCTCCTGCCCCGGCTGATGGGAAGGGCGCCCGGGGGAGCCCAGCTGCTGTCTGCATCTGCTGTCCGGCCTCCAGCCCTCACACCTCTCCTTTCCTCCCCGGCTGCTGGCTCCTTGCCCTGGTCAGGCTCAGGTGCCTGTGCTTCTGACCTTCCATGCTGCTCTGTCCCCATCCCTTGCCTTTCCCTTTCTTCCAACAGTCCTGTTTTCCTTCTTCGGGTTGTGGTGGGAGTTCCAGAGAGGGGCCTGGAGGCAGACCCAGCCCCACTTCAAACTGTGTGACCTTGAGCAAGGCAGTTTCCCTTTGAGTCTCAGTTTACTCATCTAAAAATGGGCATAAGAGCACTTGCCACATAGGGTGTGGCAAGAAATAAAGGAGAGGCTGCAGGGGCACTGAGCCAGGGTGCCCAGCACCAGCCTAGTATTTGCCCTGTGAGTGGAATGATAAGTCTACCAGAGTTAGTGAGGAACTGTGGTCCTGGGAGCATGTGTCACCCCTACCTGCTTCC